GCACGCGGCGCTGCTGACTGCAGCAGCAGAAGAGGGGCAAAGTTTGTGGCCGATGAGTCCTTTGCTGCTGTCTTCTAGACCTTCTTCTTTGGTGATGCTGCGGTCTGTGTTTCGTTCTCGGGCTTTCGATGCGCAGCTCGAAGAGCTGCTGGCCACCGCCACCAAGCAGGTGCTCAGGGTTTAGGGTTTAGGGTTTAGGGTTTAGGGATTAGGGATTACTGGGACGGAGCCTCTGGGCTTGCGTCGTTCGCTCTGGAGTCTGTTCGTGCTGCACTAAAATGCAAGGCTCCCGCCGCCCTGCGCTTGCTGCTGCACCATCCTCTGCTGCTGCTGCTGCTGCTGCTGCTGCTGCGCAGGTGCTGGCTATGCACTGTATCCGCTCTCACCGCCAAGACTGCTGGGCCGTGGGCCGCCGCTGGGCATTTGGCCGTCGCAATTCGCTGCCTTTTCTGTCCACGTTTTCTGCGGACTCCAGGGCTGGCGAGAAGGTAACTCCCTAGGGTTTAGGGTTTAGGGTGTAGGGTTCAGGGTTTACAGAGCGAGCTAGCGGTTGGGGACGGTCTAAGGGGTTTAGCGTTTAGGGTTTAGGGTTTGCAGAGCCGCTAGTCTGCTGCAACGACCCCTAATATGTCTGCATCCTTCTGCCTACTTGCAGAGTGGGGCGTAGCGCCTAGGGTTTAGGGTTTAGGGTTTAGGGTTTTTGGTGGGGCTTTGTTCGCAGGCAGCATGCGTGTACGCAGAGCTGCTGATTCGCATGCACCACGACAGCGGGCGAACTTCTTCAGTTTCTGGCCGCCTCAGGGAGGCCCTCTCTCCAGCATATTTCTTTTCAGTGTTGGGTTCTCCGAGGCCCTGGGGTGAGGAGGCCCCGGGGGGCCCCCCGCTGGCTCCGGGGGCCCCCCCGCAGGGCCTTGGGGGGCCCCTGGGGCCCCAGGGGGCCCCCTCGCTCGGGGAGGAGGCCCCAGGGGACAGCGACGCAGCTGCAACAAACTCCTCACGATCTTGGAGCCACAGAGCCCTCAGCTCCGGCAGGGGGGCCCCCAGTGGGTCCCCCTCGGGGGCCTCGGCGAGCGAGCGGCTGCTGGGCATTGCACACCGGCTGACGGGGCGTTTGACGGCGCGGAGGCCCCTGCACTGGGCCCCCAGGAAACTGCAGCAGCAGCAGCAGCAGCAGCACCGCGTCTCCAGCAACGTCGAAGTCGCCTACAACTTCTACGCCGATCCCGCACCCATAGACCCTCTGGTCCTCTTTGGGGACGATTCCACTGGGTAAACCGAGAAGCTGCCTTCTGCTGCGGCTGCTGCGGCTGCCGCTGCTGCTGCTGCTGCTGCTCACGCGGGACGCGGGTGGCAGGGGGCTCCTGCTGTTGCTGCTGGTGCCGTTACTGCTGCTGCTGACGCTGCTGCAGCTCTGGGGAAAACTGCTGCTACCTTTGTCTTTGCTGCTGCGCTTTCCGAGGCTCTGGTGGTGGGCTAGCCAGCGGTGCCTGCGCAGCACTCCGGGGCATAGTGGTACTGGTGCTGCGGGTGCCGCTGCTGCTGCTGCTGCTGCTGCTGGGGGCTTCGCTTTGCTGGATGGCGGTTGCTGCTGCAGCGCAGGCTACAACTATTGCGGTCTTTATCGCCCGAGTGCATGCATCTGTAGTTTTCATTTTTTAATTGTGTTTATCTCTTTTATTTCTTTGTTTTAACAGAACACTGCACCTGAACTTGGGACTTTCGATGCTGGCTCCCCACAAGACGTCTGCGGTGTACGTACACGTGGCGGGGGACATGGGCGCTCCGGAGAACTACGCGGAAAACGTGGACTATTACTTAGATGCGTTTTCTCTGACTCGCTTTAGGTGAGGCTGAGGGTTTAGGGTTTATTAGAGGGGAGAAAAGGGTTTATTTGCGCGAAGTTGGGCCCTGTGGGGCCCCCGGGCTGTGGAGTTGCTGCGGGGCGTTTGGGGTGTATGTACAGCCGGGGTGTGGGGCGTGTGCCGAGGTGTCTGTACACCGCGTGCGGGGCGTGCGGCGCAGCGCGGACTCCGGCGTGGAAGTGCCAGTGTACACTTTGGAGTTTGACATAGGGGTAGAAGGTGACCACGAAAGCGTGTTGGCGCTGGTGGCATCTTTGACAACTGCTGCTTCTCGGGTGTCTTCATCGCAGCTGCAAGCAGCAGCAGAAGAGAGCAGCGACAGCAGCAAAGGGGAAGCCCGGAGGGTCCGCTGGGTCTCCCTGGGGGCCTTCAAACCCTTGCATGCAGTGGGCAAAGCCCTCAGCCGCTTCGTGCTGGCCCACGTGCTGCAGTACCGGGCCTGCAAGCAGCAGCAGCAGCAGCGGGAGGAGGCGGGGGCGGACAGCGACAAGGCCAGGTCTCCGCGGCTTGCTGCGCAGCTGCAGCAGCAGCCCAGGACTGCCCTGCGGCTGCAGCAGCTGCAGCAGCAGCTTGCTGCAGTGGGACTCAGCGGCTGCCACTTGCCTCTCCTCATCCTCAAACCCCGATATGTGGTGCAGCGCCACCGCAGACAAGACAGCAGCAAAAGCAAAAGCAAGCAGCAAACTGGCGGCCAAGCCCGCAGCAACCAGGAACTCAACGTCCAGATACTCCCGCTGCTGCCTCATGCAGAAACAATGGAAAAAAACAAAAAGCAAAAATATACGGGACCCACAGCCAGGCCCTTGCAGTATGACTCAGCTCAAATGCAAGTTTTGAAGCCTCCCATGTCTCAAGGCTTCCCCGTTATTCTTTTCAGGTTTGTCTTTGCCAGCTTTTTGCTTCTGCTGCTGCGCTGCAGCTACAGCAGCAAGCGCCCAGACCAGCAGCAGCTAGCCAGGCAGCTGCTGCAGTCCGTTTGCTTGCTGCAGCGAGAGCGCAGAGATAGATCTAAAGGACTTCTAGTAGACTCTTAAAGCAGCAAAGGCAGCTGCAAACGCAGCAGCGAACGCAGCAGCAAATGCAGCAGCAAACGAGCAAAGAAGGGAGGGGGTTTTAGTACAGCAGACAGCCGCAGCACCAGCAGCGCCTTTGTTGCTTTGCAGCGGTCCACACAGAGCTCTTCTTGATTTGTAAAGGCCTCTGTACATATGCTTATATATATGTACTTATAAATGTACTTTTGCATAATATATATATATGTTTCATTTGACTTATTTGCTTTTTCCCTTTATGCACTTCTAACGGCTGCCCTTTAGCACAAATTCAAAATTGGATGCAGTTTGGCGCTTTGCTGCTGCTGCTGCTGCTGCTGCAGGACGCCGGTGCATGCATTGACACAGTCGTGGCTCGTTGGGATTGTTGACAGGCCGGACGTCTTCCGTGGAGCAACCAAAGTAGGCTGTTGCTGCTGCTGCCGCTGCTGCTGCTGCTGCCGTTGCTGCTGCCACTTTTTCTGCTGCCACCCCTGAAGTAGGCGGCGTAACATTCGTACTGCGGGCGGCTTGGTTTAGCTTGTCTATCGTTGGGCATAGCGTTAGCTGCTTCTGTACCAGTTGCTGCTGCTGCTGTTGCTGTTGCTGCTGCTGTTGCTGTTGCATGCGCTTGCGTCTCGCGTGGTGCGGCTGCTGTGGCTGCGAAGACCGTGCAGGAGGTCCGGTCTTTCTTGCCAGTGGCTCATCCTTCTCGATTTGTGTTGTACAAAGACATGCATGAAGACTTTTTGCACATGTTGTCTCTGACGGCGAGCCCCGACGAGTTGCTGCCGCCCCCCGTGTACAGCGCGGCGCTGCTGCTGCACCTGCTGCGGCTGCGGGACGCCCCCGCGAGTTCCCCTGGAGCAGCAGCAGCACGAACTCCGGACTTTGATGCAGCAGAGTGCCAGCGCAGGCTGCTGCCGGTCCAGCTGGACTTGGGGGCAGTTCAAATGGAGGCTTCTGCAGTGCCTTGCCCGGGGGGCATACCGGACTGTCTTCCGTTCTCCGAGCTGCAGCAGCTGCAGCAGCTGCAGCGGCTGCAGCGGGAGCAGCCCCCGGTGGCCCCCGCGCGGGGCCAGCGCGGCCACGACCCCCACCAGCGGCTGTCCAAGCCCTACGGGGACGCGCAGCAGCAGCAGCAGCAGCAGCAGCAGCGGCGCGCCGAGGGCCCCCGCCGGCTGCCCCTGGGGGCCACAGAGCCCCCGTGGGGCACTGTGAGAAGCCTGGTGGGGCCCCTGCTGCGGCCAGTTTCTCCAGATGTGCTGGGGCGAATTGAACAAGCAGCAACGGACTTGAGTTCTTTCTTTTGTTCGCGTTTGCCTTTCGTGCAATTCATGGACGTGGCCAGCGCCCCAGAGCTGGCGGAGTTCACTGTGGGGCTCAGCAGCAAACTGCATGTCTTGCGGCGGGAGGTCTTGGCCGCGGTGATGAGTGCAGAAGAGAAGCGTGGGGGCCCCCCGTGGCGGGGGTGGGGGCCCCCCAACTTGAAGGGGGCCCTCGACTGGCGCCGCCCAGAAAAGCGGCGAAGGACCGCAGGCCCCCTGGACGGCCCTTCGTGGCTGGGGGAGGGCAGCGAGAGCAGAGCAGCAGCAGCAGCAGCAACAGCAGACACGAGCTTCCGCATGGACCCCCGCGAGGGGGTCCCCCTGAGCGAGTCCAGCGAAGCAAGGAAGCTCGAAGGCACCAAGGGAATGGGGGAAGCCACAGGCAGCCAAGACCTGCGCTCAGGGGCCCGGTGGGGCCCCCGAGAGACCAGCAGGGGCCCCGCAGCCTACGCGCCATTTTGGCAAAGACAGGGGCGGCTGGGGAGCAGCAAATTCGCAGGGAGAAGGGCCCGGGGCCGCAGCAGCAGGAAGCAGGGGGAGGGGCCCCTGGGGTCTCGGGGGGCCCTCGAGGTGGTGGATGTGCAGCTGCAGATGCAGCGGCAGCTGCTCGAGATATCCGCGGGCCTCGCAGCAGACTTGCTGGACTCGGAGTACAAGGGGCCCCCCGAGTCTTCTCCTGAGGAGCTGCTGCAGCTGCTGCCGGAGCTGCAGCGGCAGGCCGACTTGGAGAAAGAGTGGCCTCAGAACTTCCTCGACAACGCCAAAAGGACTTATGAAGAAGACTCGCGGTTTGCCTACTACGCGAGACAGACGGAGCGCCGCCAGGCCTTGACAGAAGTTGTTCGTTTCAAAGCCAAGGAAACTGCAGACTTCGCTTTGTCTCTCATGGATGCAGCAGAGTGGCTGCACTCCCTGAAGGAGGAGGGAAGGACTCCTCGCTCGGTCTTCCCCACGGTTTACCCGGGGGCCGCGGGGCCCCTGCATGCAACAGCAGCAGCGTCTGCTGCGGCCACTGCAGCGGCGGTGGCTGCTGCAGCAGCAGGCGCTGCAGCGCACGGCAGGGCCGAGGCGCTGCTGCACTACTACACCCCGCCGGACTCCGACGCAGATCCCGTGCGCCTGCGAAATGCTGCTGTGGGGGCCCCCGAAGTTGAAGAAACTTTGCGGGATGCAGAAATGTGTGTACCGCAGAAGTTTCTTGAGCATTTCGGCTACCGCTTTTCCTCTTCAAGTCCTCCCGCTGCTGCTGCTCCGTCGGGCAAGGCGGGGTTGCCTGCCCGCGAGGCGCGCGGCAGCGACGGCAGCGTGCCCAGCAGCAGCAGCAGTAGCAGCCGCAGCAGCCGCAGCAGCAGCAAGAAAAGCAGCAGCAGGAGCAGCCGCGACGCCGGAGGCAGCGCCCACAGGAAGCAATCGGGCAGCCCCGGAAAACAGCCACTGGCCAGCGAACACACAAAGGGGGCCACTTTGTGGTGGGAAGAAGAAGCTGCGCTGCTGATGAACTCCTCGGGAAATGCATTAGCAGCAACTTTGACCCTGGCCCCACACCTGCACCTGGCGCTGCAGACGGGGCGGGACTGGGACTGCCTGGGGGTGGACTCCGTGGCTGGGAACGCCCTGTGGCTGTACGTCATGGGCCGCATCTGCGCGAACTCTTTTGTTTGTGAAGGCTTCAGGAGTCTCCTTTTCGGGGAAACCCTTTTGCTGCAGGACCTCCTCAAAGTCGCCAAACGCAACGCCTCAGGCACTGGCAAAGCCCTTTGTCTGAGTCGAATTGACCTCTTACTCGAGGGCAGACACCAGGGATTCGCGCGAAGTGAGCCGCACACCCAAGTGCACTCACAGACATGACCTACGTGCTTTCAGGCGAGAATGCATGCGTGCATGCTTGCATGCATGCATGTATGCATGCACAGAGATATAAACTCTCACGCATTAGGACACGAATATATTTGAGTAAAGTTGCGTGCAGTACTTGCAAGCGCTGATAAGTGCACCTGCATGTGACGGCACTTAGAAAGAGGAAGACAGAGATAAGTGCACGGATTGGGATGCTTCAGATGCTTCAACGAGCTCATTTGCGTTTGGGCCTTTGCAGCCTCGAGTGGGCTAGGGAGCTCGACGCAGTGCATAGCTAGCTAGCGAGCTAGCTAGGTACCTAGCTAGCTAGCCTCTGCCTTTAGCTGGTTAAATCGTTCTGTTTTTGTGCATGCAGCGTACTACGCCAGACAGCAACTTGGACGCCTTTGGCGGTTCTTTTCCTCCGGCTCCAACGCGCGGTTTCCCCAGAGGCTCTTTTTATCTTGCACGACGGAGTGGCAAATGGCTGTGGAAGTCCTGACTTGGGTTCAGTCGCATCCAAACTGTTTCATGCGGCACGCCTTGCCCTGAGGCGCTGCTGCCAGCAGCAGCAGCAGGCAATTAGGCGCCTGCAGCAGCCACCCGAATGTGAGGCCCCACAGCGCCGATAGAAACCGCGGGGCTCTCTTTGCTTTGTGCATGCGTCGACATCAAATGAAGGGGGATTGGACTCAGCTGAAGCAGCCATAGCCTCTGCTTCCCTTCCCCTCATTCAAAGCTAGTTTTGCCCGCATGCAGATGGGCTCTACGGGCCTTTGAGTGGCCATCGAAATGCCCCTGATCGCTGCTTGCGGCTTTGCGGGGTCGCTTAGGGGACGCCTGGAGTGGCGCAAATAGCGAATTATTATTGTTATTCGCGACAGCATTTGGTCAAGAAGCACAAGAGGGATGAGAAAGAGCAGCTGGAGTTCTTCCAAGAATATGTTGGCTCCTTCGGTGGCATCTTGAGTCTTGTGGGCGACATATGGCCCTTGGCAGCCTTGGGGCTTACTTAGTTTTCTTAATGTAGTTCGCGGCTTGCCGGGGACTCCTGTGTTTTCGACGCTGCTGCTGAGGGCGGCAGGTGCTGCGCTATATTTCGTGGAGATGGAGAAGCCAGTTTGTGCAGGTGCTGCGTTATATTTCGTGGAGATGGAGAAGCCAGTTTGTGCTGGCAGGGCATTGGGGTGGCTGAGGGGCCTTCTGTTTGAATATGGCGGCTCGTGGTAGTTTGAAGATAGAGTGTTTCAGAGTGTTTTATACTATAACTTTTGGTTAAGATCTTCATGGCTGTTTTGGGGTAGCCGGGTCTTTCGCGGGCACAGCCCGTAACGCCTCATGGGCTTCACTGCGCTCGACAGAAGGTTGAGCCTCTTTTTGTATTTTTTGGGGTTTCGCCCGTGGGTGGTATCTTAGAGGAAAATAGATTTGCCTTTGGCAGCCGTAAAGACTAGTGCGAAAGGGCTGACGGCCCTCTGTGGCTTAAGAAGAAAACAGCTGTGAACTTACGCCTATCAGGAGGGCTTGCACATTAGGTGAAAACTTCGATATCTTTCGTCAATTTTTTCCTAGCTCGAGTGGCACGTCGGATGTAAGGATTCGGATGTAAGGATTCAAGTTGTAAATAAATACCGCAAACTAGGTTGTAACAGAGAGAACTACGACTTCTTTTCCCCCGGGGTGTCCGTCTTGGCGAGTTGTCTTCAGTCCCGTCGGTAGTTCGGAGCTATCTATTTTCTTTTGCGGTGCCTTTCCTGGCCTACCGACTCTCTCATTGTTTTTAGGTCATTTACAATAGGGAAGGCTAGAAGCGGTTCAGGATTTAGGGACTTTCTAGTTGATTAAGTAGCCGGTACCTGGTGCCGTCGCGCTGCGTTGCAAGTTTCCGAGCAGTTCAACACACGGGACACAACGGAAGGGCCCCTCGATCTGGTTCCCTGGTTCTTTGGGTCCCTTTTCAAGGCCGTTAGTTGTTGTTGAGAACGGTGGCAACGTTTTCGCCTCCTACAGCCCCTTATTCTCGCGTTTTCCCATGTTGCTGTGGCCACGTGTCCTTATGTAATGCTTCGTCAGCCACTGTAGTAACCCTCACAGCCTCGCGAATTGTGTGAGGGAATGCAAATGTAGCGTGTCATACAACTTCTGAAGCACAGGCATATACGCAGTGGAATGTCTTGGCGCAGTAAGGGAAGTGCCTTCGAGAACACAGAGAATTTGTATAGTTGGGGGTTCAAGGGCCTCTCCTGGCCCTTACCGAGCGTTGAAGAAACATAAGATTGCGCGCAAAATGCAACTACTTGGACTGAAAGACACAGATACAAGAATTTATCTGTTCTTGAGGGCTTTGCAAGAGATGTCAAGACAGATAAGCGTGCCCTCACTGGTCAACTAGGCTGCAGCAATCGCGACGTCGCAGCTTTGGGATCCTGTCCGTGGTATCCTGCAGCGGAAATAGTTGTTTGTTGAGTTTAAGGATAGATATAGGGCATATTTATAGTAAATGAGTGCTTTATAGCCCAGCGAAGCAGAGAAATACGCAGTATGTGGGAGCTGCTGCGGACGGTGTGCCCGCTGGTCCACTCGGCGATCTCTCTGGACCTCCCAGTCCTCTTTTTGTTGTTTTCCCCCCCACTTCTCGACAGCTCCCTCCACTTTCCTGTACCTATTGATTTGCTAGCGTTTTTCCTTACGTTTGTCGGGAGCTCTGGCGAAGCTGCGGGGGCGCCACGCGGCCCAAGTCCTTTCTGAGGTCACTTTCTGTAGTCAAGAGAATATCACCGGCTGTCGAATTTGCCTTCATCTGTTTCCTAAACAGAGTGCAATGCTGACCTCCCTGAAAAGCTTGACAGCAGTTGCCCCCTGCTCTAAACGCTAGAAACGAAGTCCTGAGGCCGAAGCACTCAGGACCTGCTCATGCTCTTGGAGGGCTCTGGAAGGTGTTGCACAAAGCTTCAACTAGCCCCATAAAAAGCCACAGAACCTCATTAAATCTGTGCATATCTTAGGATCTGCGCGAGTAGCGGGCAGAAGACCTGCTACAGCTTCACCTAGTCTGCCGGAGTTCAGCTGTGAAGCTCAAATCGAAAGGACTCTGTAGCTGTTCGCCTTTTTAGTGGGATGCATTTGTGGGCAAAGACCAAGCCAACGGGAGTCCTTTCTCTCTGGCGAGTGCTGTGGGATCTTCCCCGTGACCGTTTTGTTTGCTGAGAGGGCCCCTCGTTTCCTTGTATGCTATTCCTTCCCTTTCACCTACTCTTTGTTGGCACAGGAAGCACTTCTCTTGTCTGCTTCAGCCAGACGAGTTTCACCGGCTAAGGGAACCTGCCTCCCTTTACGGGCGATGGCTTCAGCGGCAGGGTCCGGACAACTTCAATCTCGGGAGGAAGGAGAAAGGGATCTCGATTGCCCTTCATTTGCAGAAAGGGAGGCGCCTCCTCGCCGGGGTTGGCGAGTAAAGCAAAGATCTGCGCTGAGAGCCTCTGAGACCTCTGCGCAGTGCTTTAGTGCAAATTGGAGTAACTCGGTGCAGCAGGTGAAAAGTAAAGCACCGAAAACAGAGGACCAGAGCTTACAGGAAGAAACGAAAAGGCTCTGTGCAAAGACGCCGTGGTGCCTCGGCTTCCTATCTCCTGCCCGTATCTGTCAGTGGCTGAGGAGAAAAAAAGCGCGCAAGAAACCCCAAAGCAGACAAGTTCGTCTTTGCTCATGCAAGTTTTAGACAGATACCTTTAGTTGTTTTCTTGCTGTTCGTCCTTTGCTGAAGTCGCTCAATAGAACAGTGCAATGAAGGGAAGGAGGAACGGGCACAAAGGCAGTGGCGCAAATGGAGGGGCAGAAGAAGTTGCAGATAAGCGTAGGCAGCGGGTGTACACGCAAGAACGGTGCCACACTTGAAGGCGTGAAAAGACACCAAGAGCTAGGCAGAAGCAGAAGAGGCAGCTGCAGAGGCAAACAGAGGCAAAACTAGTTGGCTGTGGCTCCTTTGTTGCTGCAGCTCCCGTGTAGCCTCATCCGCATCAACCCAAGCGCTGAACTTGTCCCTTTTCTCCCTCCTCAACTTCCGAAAGATGCGGTGGGTGCTGACGAAGTTCCACTGATATATACCGCAAAGGGACAGATCTAGGAAACAGAATCTCACCACATGTGGTCTTTGCACCAGATAGGTTTTCAGAGCTCCCTGTCATACAGGATTTCCCGCATGTCATTGTCGGGGGTTTTTCGAGACACGAAAATGGCACCTACCTGACTTCTGTTTCCATTTCTCTTCTTGCATTCCTGTGAGATGCCTAGGCACGTTTGAGCCTCTGGTTCTCATGTTCAACTCGTCAGTGGCTAATGGGTGGCTTGTTTCCTTTTCAATTTACGTCAGTATCTGCCGTTACTGTGTCACGTTCCGTCACTGTATATTCGTCATACGAATTATCTAGAGTCCATTTGCAACTTCAGTGTGTCGCTATCTGGTGCGTATTTAGGGCAAAAAGACTTTAGTGTTGGACCTGGATGAGACTCTCGTGCGTAGCAGCTTAGTCAAGCCTCGCACTTACACTTTTGTTGTGACGGTGCGCCTGTTCCCTTTCCCTTTTATCCTCTTAAAGCTCTACACGCTTCGGTTCTTCCTGACGTTGGGTACGGCAATTTGGGATATCTTGTCATAGGGAGCCCTGCCTTCCCGTGAAAGTGTCGCGGTCTTTCTCCGGCCCACGTGAGAAGAAAGTGCATGCTTGCCTGTCCGTAACATCTGGATTTGTGGTACAGGTCAACTTCAAAAAGCGACCAAGACAGATATACATCAAACGACGTCCAGGTGACAAGGACTCCAGCAGTGCAAGTTGCTTTGTCGTGTCTTTGTTCGTTCTGCGTGCCGTTTCGTTACCTTCCCTTACCATGGCGGAACCGCGCCATGGGACCCATATAAAATTGCCTCCCTTCAAACACAGTCAGTGCATTTAGGGATTCTGCATACGATGTATAACATTAGCTATTTGTCTGGATTTCGTTATTGTGAGGTGGAGCGGCGCCTTTTACAAGAGCAAAGGCTAGAGAACGTTTTTTGATTGCCACATGCACGGGTCAATAAGATCTGTAGAATTAATAGATAGATCCTCTGGAAACGACGGAGAAATAGGCACAGAGAAAACAATCGGCATAAACAGAAGCAAACTGGGACAGATGGACAGAGGGGCAGGTAGATGCAAATGTGGGCAGATAGAGGCCGCATTAGATTCCAATATTTCTGCCGCTTCTTGGTGAACTGTTTTTGTTTTCAAGGCGTCACTAAATTTCTAAAGGAAATGTCGAAGCTGTATGAAGTTGTTATCTTCACTGCCTCTGTGTCCGGAGTAAGGGTCTGGCATTTATGCGCGAATGCGCGTGCACTGCACAGAGGCTATCCGACTTAGGAAACAGCAGCGATGAGTATGGCTCGAATCGTGCAGATGCGCAGAGATATATACGTGTAGAAAACCACATAAAGAAACGCATGGATACAAGTGTTTCTGCGTCAACAGTTAATGTAGCAGAAGTAGCGACAGAGGAGCACATCGGAGTGGGAACAGGTGCAACCTTTGTCGCAGAAGTTTGCTTTTGCTTGAAGATGAGCTGTTTGCGCTGCAGTACGCGGACTTGGTAGTGGACAAAATTGACCCGCACAAACTGTGCTCGTACAGACTCTTCCGAGAATACTGCACATACCAGTGAGCCTAAGCGGTGCACCTGTGTGACTACCACAGCACTTATTCAGCACTTTAACTACAAAATCGCCTATCAGGCCCTAAGGAGCATCACAGAGAAGTTCCATGTGACTTAAGAAGTAAGATTTGTACTGTTGGGTAGGGACGGCTACTGCCTTGTCTACGCCCTGTTTGTAGAAGTTGCATCACGGAGTTCTGGAGAGTATACTATCTACAGTTTTGCCCCATTGCATGCTCTCTCTCATGCGGAGTAAATTTAAATATGCTCACCAGTTTGATTCATGCATTTTTCTTCACTGTTGTTTATGAGTTTATGTAGCTGCGCAGAATATAATCGCGCCGGTATAGGCTCCACTTAAATGCACTAAATGCACTTAATAAGTATGCGTATACATGTTTGCAAGCCTGTGATCGGATACAAGTATGAATTGTTCCATGGGATAGGCCGGAGCTGTTGACTGGCGCTGAATTTGCCTGCATGGCCGAATGAAATGCTTGGCAGACTCTGTTGTTCACTCGTGCACGCCCGTAGAGTTTTTGAAACGTACAGTTTAACATTTTTTAAGAGCTTGGTTACTCTGCTCAGTGTCTGGTTGTTTCTGCGTTGTCTGTTTCTGCTATCTACATGATATGTGCTATTCGGTGGAAAAGAGCTTCGAGTGTTCCTTTTTCCCGTTTCTGTACTTCCGCTGCTTGCTCATTCGTTTTTTTATCAGCTCATCTATTGCTGTAATGTTCTTTGGCTGCCGTACACATCAGAATGTTGCGAATCAGTTTTCCGCGAATGTGTGTGTCCCCCTTCCCTCTCTTCTGGCCTTCACTTACCGTCCTTTGATGTGTTTCTGTTCCGCTCCTCATGTTGCCTGTTGGCGCCGCCATTGGCTTCGCATCCACCTTTTTTGTTCAATTTGTCTTGCTGCTTTGTAGGAGCGGGGCCTTTATTAAAGATTTGTCTCTTCTAGGCCGCGAACTTCGCAACGTAATTATTATAGACAACTCCACCAAGGCCTACTTGTGGCACATGGAAAACGCAATACCCATCAAAAGCTGGTAGGCAGCCGCTGCCGCGGCTGGTGTTGCCCGTCCTATGGCGTAGAAGTGCATGCATAAGAGAACCTGGAGTAACGCACATTTATAGCATCTACTCATGGCTTACGGCTGTACGAGCACGTAGAAATGTGCTCTCTTGTGTTATTCACATGGTCGGCACATCGTTTTTATAGCAATATTTGTCACCTATGCCGGATATGCGCTTTGGCATCTGTGCCAGTGACCGAATTTGAATGCATGCGATCTCCGCGACCTACCTTCATTTGACTTCCGAACCAGACATGTTTGTGTTACCTGTATGTGTCTATATGTTTTCGACGCATGAGTCTTTTTGGGAATGAGCATATGCATATTTTCCCGTTGACGGGTATGCTTAGTTGGGCCTGCTTAGCTTTTGTACACTTGGGTAACGGTCCGAAGCTCATGGGACTAGTCCCCAAATGGCTATTTCCATAGTCTGGTTGTGTGACGCGCAAGTGCAACATGTTATGGTATATGGAACTCAGGTTTGACGATCCAAATGACACAGAATTGCTCGATCTGATACCTATACTGCGTTCCCTTGCGACGGTGAGAACTTTCGAACCCTTAGCTCTTGAGCCTAGATACTCAACGTAGAAGGCTCACAGCTGAACATTCATGTTGTGTTTGTTTACGAGCAGGTGGACGACATACGCCCTATGATCAGGGAGGCTTTACTGCGTTACTTTTGAAGCATAATGCGGAATTAGAGTTCGGAGGAGAAACAGGCAGGAAAAGCAACGAGCAAATCATGAAACGAATAGGTGGACGGTTGCCCATCGATTTTGTGAATTTGTGCGGAGTAGGAGAACTCTTATGAGGGTCCCTGACTGTGGCCTGGCCCGTCTCCCTTGTGAGGCTCTTTGTAGACTTTTTGTGGCTTCATTTTGTCGCTCTGATGTTGTACCTGCTGTCGATAGAACAGCTCACGGAGATGCGTGCGTTCAACTTAACACCAGCAGCTGTCGTTGCAATTGACGAAGCGAAAACGTTTAGTCACCATCCCCATTCAGAGGCACCGCGAGGCCATGCTTGCATGCATCCAAACACGTTGAAAACAAGCCGCGACAGCCGCAGCACGCCTCTACGAGCCCAAGCAGAGTGTGCTGGAACTCGGAGAAAGGACCAGTCGAGCCATTAAGGCTGCTATCCAAGCTAATGGACCCCATGGGCACCTGGAAATCGAACACGGAGGGTCTGTCTCCGTTTTGAGGCCTTGGAAATCCACATAAAATTGCACACACTTTGGGGGCCCCTTGCATGCATTCATGCATGGAAGGCCTGTCTATGTCTTGAAGTATTGCAAATTCACACAAACGTGGAGGGCGTTCAAGCATCTATATAGACCAGTGAATGCACATACACCTCCATACAGAGTGCCTCAATGGGAAGAACTCCAATAGTGCATTCACCACAAGGCGAGATGTCCACGAGGGAACAGCAACAAACGTGCACTGCATGCCTTGTTGTGTGTCATAAATTTCTTTGGATGTGATGGTTTTTGCACGGGTCTCTTTTTTTACTCTCATCACTCCGGTCTGCTGCGAAAGCAAACAGAAACGATTTCTTGTGTTTTAGTGCGCTGATTTCCAGGAAATTGCCATGAATACGAAGACCCATGTTGGCTTTGGAAGGCACAAAGAAAAGCAAACAGCTGGTTCTACGTCAGAGGTAGGGCACAGTTGCTACTGAATCCTGTGCACACTATTCTCTGCCTGTAGGCTAGCTTAGTGTGAGTGTGTAGGAAGGTAAGAAAAACTTGTCCTGAAAAGCTCACTCTGTCATGCTGCTGCTGTGCTGCTATCAAAACAGCAGCACGCATGCATGTGGTACTGAGGAGCGAGAGAGATGGCACTGGCCCTACGATGTCTCTGTGTAGCTCGCTAGCTTTTGTAATAGAGGGAAAGCAGGAAAGGCTCCTGGTATTTGCACGCCAATATATAGAAGTACTTGTAACTAGTCAAGAAAATTTTTTCAAAGTATAAGCATTCGCACGCGCATCGCCTGCGAACCTGCCTTTGCAGGTTTGCTAATGTTGCAAAGGCAACAAGTCACCTCTGCGTTCTAATACTTGCCTGTAGTTCTGCTGCAAAAAGCAGTAAGTCCACCAATCATAGACATGTAGTTGCTTTATATCAGTGGGAGAGGCAACAACTCTGTTCTATGCATAGGTACGTATACACAAACAGGCACATCCGCTTTGCCAGGAGCTGCAGCAGCAAGCCATATGCTTCGACTGTGAGCCGACTACGAGACAAGAGAGCTCTGGAAGCTCCTGTCCTCCTCCTCTTATTTGGCTTCGTTCAAAATTCCCTCGTAAATAAGGAACATGATGCCGCTCTGCAGGCACGCACGCTGCGTGTGGACCCAGTAGCCGCCGAAAAGAGAGAGAACTCCTTCCTCCCGGACCATTCTCTGTAAATATAAAACACCTGACCATGCGAAACATGCGAAACCAGAGTATATCAGCGGATTAGCTGGCTAGCTTTTGTAGACACAGCAGAAGCCGCAGCGGATGTGACTGCAACAGCACCTCAGCTGGTGGTGCAGTCAAACTACAGATACGCAACACCAGCTCCGCCTCTGCCGCTCTGCTGCTGCAGTCGGCGCCTGCAGCAGCTGCAGCAGCTTTAGCTACTGAAGCTCCTGTTGGCACCAACAACTGCATTTGCCTTGGCAACAGCACTGACCGCGAGACAGCATGTTTCAGAGATGCTAAGAAGGGGATGAAAATACTATGAGCTCACGATCGCAATCTGCAGAAAGTTCAGATTGGCGTATGGGGTACTGTATACCTGTTGTCGACTGCGCAGGACCTGCACGGTCAGCGCAAGCAGCCCTACAAAAAACTGCTGCATCTGCGGTCTGCTAAAACCCTGAATAGCTCGATTCTCTAACGGATATCTAGAATCCTCAAGCTGCCTTGGGCAAAAGGGATAACAAACCAGCAAGCACCTAGGGCGCAGAAACTTGCCTGGAGAGGATACGTAACGGAAAGAGCAGCGAATTTTGATGCGGCTCCCCACAAAGCGGGCAGCCCTGTTGAGGTAGAGCATGAACCTTGTGAGGCGCTGAGACAGAAAAATGACCTCAAATCATCTACAATGACTCATCTGCTAGAAGGCCGCAGACTGTCAACTCTGCCTTTTTGTCGTGAGCTGTATCTGAGCAACATGTGCACCCACTGATTCCGTTTCAGCCGTTCATAAACGGCGATCTGGATTGCGGCATGCGGGGCTAAGGCTAAGGCAGGGCCAATGCCTTTGTAAGATTCTCGCACGCCGCCACGGGCGACGCTCACTATACAACTAAAGCCGCTGTGGAAAAGAGGCCAACCAGCAACCTTAGAGACGACAGTCAGCACAGACAGAAGTGAGCAAAACGCAGCCAGACATACATGCAGTGAGAAAAAGCGGCGCGTAAGTGGGCACGCCAAAAACGGACACCGATACACTAACAAACAGAAAGGGAGCTAAAGTAATAGAGATGTACAGGAAAGCACGACCAAGCAGCACGACCCCGAGCTGACCATATCGGTACGTGCACACAGAAGATAGATACAGAAGAAGAAGGCTTAGCTACAGCGCAGGCAACAGCAGTAGCAAGGTGTGTTCACAGCAGCAGCCAAACAGGGAACAATAGATACTGCAGCAGCAAACAGAACTCTTTTTAAGGAATTAAACAAAAAGCGCGGCAGCGGAATCCTCGGCAGCACGGTTAGCAACAGCAGCACAGTTGCCAGCACCAGCATAGGCGGCAACGGCAACAGCTGAGGATACCGAAGCTGCAGCTGCGGCTGCACTTCTGCCTCCTCCCCGTTGCCGACGCCTGCAGAATCTATGTGTCGTTTGATTCGGTGCCTTGTGCCACATAGTCAATTACCACCGGCTATGTCGAAAGCCTACGCAGATGACTACAATTCACAATGAACTTCTTTCAGTTAGGACTTAAAAGGAGACAGTCTAGGACGAAACAAGGAATTTCCTACCTCAGCTTCTTTTGCCTGCATCTCCATTCGCGCTTTGGCAAGCCACAGCGGGTGAGTCAAGCACGTGACTAAAACGCCAGCGACGAGGCCACTGGCCTGGAACAGCAAAAACAAAAAAAAAATAAAAGGTGACCTGCGAGTAAATTACAAATGGCTGAAGCCGCTAGCATGCTTGAACTGGCGTTCAAACAATCCGCCCCAGATGCAAATAGTGGTTTTAATAATCAAGAGAATGATGAACAACTGCGGAACGAGAGCTTGGCACTGAGGGGCACGCACACCATGTCGTCGAGGGACGTCCTCTGAGCTACTCCATTTGGTTTGTCAGAGTTTCCAAAAACAGATTCTCTCCAGCCAGGTAAACTGAGACTGAGCTGATCAAATCTGCATGCAGTACAAGCGAAATCTGCAACAGACAATCAAGTCGTGCGCGGGAAGAAAAAAGATTCAATCAAAAACAGGGATCACCGCTTATCTCCCTGAAAAAATACTAAGCATATATAAATACGCAGCAAGATTTTCAGACACAATGCAAAAGGTCGATTTTGCGAATATTTGGCCGGGGGTCGAGCACTTGGGGGAAACGGCATTCATAACTGGGCTGTGTTGCTTTGCCGTTCCTGTAGTGCCTATCACGATAGATTGCGCAGCTCATGGGGAAAAACAGAATAGTGTAAAGCGGAGCCTACACGTATCTGAAGCATGTCCATGACGTCCAGGAGGCAAAAGCAGTCACCCCGATACCTTTCCATAGGCCCCGCAGGCCCTCTTGTTTGTATATTCGTACTACTGCAGATTTGGTTGAACCGTAGAGAGGGATAGCCCCACCAGTGACTGCTGCAACTGAATAGCATACAAGCAAACTGACAAGCTAAAGGGTAACAGCAGCCTGTAATGTTCGCTAATGCAGCGTTTTCGCAAGCGCTTATTAGCCCACGATAGCGAGACAAATGCCCAAATATAAGGTCCAACCCACGAGAGGACGTTACACAAATACTGGAACAGAATTAAACGGCGAATTGCTCATATAAACGGCCACAAGAAACGGTGGTCTTGAAGATGAGAGCACTTCGAAGTTAATGCAAGGCTAACAGGGGCAAAACGGTAAGGCTGGTTGCACTCGACTCATGAGCTGGAAGTAGCAATTGCCACCCGCACAGAGCCTTGCTGTGCCAGCCTCTCAGCACTTTCCACGAACAGTCAAAGTAGGGAACACTCAAGAGCAAGTCAAAAGCCAAACAGCGAATTCCCCTGCCAACACAAGCAAAGGAGAAAACAACAATCGGTAGAAGTGGAAGTTGAAAAGCACTCAGTACTCAGCATGAAGAGAAGAATATGCCCCAGATGAACAACTGAAACCCTCTCTCTATAATTCTGCTGCATCCCCCGTCTACTCGTCCCTTCTGTACCTTGCATGCGTGTCTTGATGAGGTCAAAAGGATGCAAAGCACAGCAAGTCAACAGCGCCGCCGCCCCAGAAGCCCCAGCAGCCAACTGTGGCCTGGCGTTCCAATTTATATTTGAAGGGAGTGAAAACGGGGCTGCAGTTGAGTTGGCTGCTGAGACTGCTGCTGTCGTCTGCTCTTGCGGGCGTGAACCTTCACTTTCCTGGACTGGCTGTGCAGGGGCGTGGGTGTCACAATCTTCAGACTTTTTTATTCCATTGAGGACATTTAGGAACATTCTTTCTTTTGGCCGTCCAGATTCACCTTCTGCAGACATCCCCATGACCAAAACGCGAGGCGTTACATGCTGATGTCGGAGCTCCCTGTAGTCCTGAGATATGTGTGTAGAGTATTCAAGCTTTCCCTGTAGCTCCGTTTCCACAGATCTCGCGTGTACTGCACGTTTGTACCAATGTAGCGGTGTAATTGCGTCAAATTTGACAGAGGCGAAGAGGGGTTTCACTACGACGCCTGCCAGCCAGAACAGCACTTGGAAATGAACACACGGCAGGCACAAAATTCACGACAAAACCTAAAAGCCATTGATTGATACGTCTTTTGGAAAGTGCATTTAAATGAGAAACCAACTAGTTAACGCGGACGACACTGCCTAGTAAGTAGGGGGGCCCCAGAATGTTCAGTGAGCGACCGTTGGTGTTCGCGCCCGCTGAAGAGTGTCGCTGACACACTCCGCGCATCTGTTCGTTCAACATTATCTTTTGGTCGGTGTCTTGCTGATGCCTTTTTCCTTGTCAACAGCTTCCGTTTGGACTGCCGTTTCAGAGCCTTCCCATATCTAGAGTTCCTAGCAAGCTTTGAAGGACTGCCTCTCTGTAACTGCACTGAAACCTCTAACAAATCTTGGGGCTGCATTACAGAGACTGAAGTTGTGGGGCTCAGCATCTTTTGGCTGTGTTGTGTAAGTAGGCTCATCTTCGGGAGAACCCTTCAGGATAGCTAACTTCCCTCGCCAGCGCCTCATGCAAAAGTGTGCGCGCGGCGACACTGCCTGACCAGGATGGGCAGGGGAGGCCTCCACAAAGCGTCTGTCGTGATCTTCTTAGGGCTGCTGGGCCTCATTTAGCTGCGGCGGGACCCCCGTTCACATCCGAGCAGATACGCACTCAAGTCCAGACCACTGCTTTGTGCAGGTGCCTCCACAGGCGTGCGTAAATGCAAACAAAAGCGCACATGTGTTTATTTACATCTGCAAGTCTGAAAAGGTAAACAAAGCTGGCCCGTGAGACATTCGTCATCACCAGGCAGCAATGGCACGCCTTGAACGTCGAACCAACGCGAAACGCTAAAAAATTGCGATTGTTCAAAACTTTCAACGGCACAAGACTACGCCGTGAAACGAGGGGTTTTAGAGTTGCTGCGGCTCCACCGATCCGCGTGCAGTAGCCAAGTACAGCACCTCTACTGAGCGCTGCTATTTCGGTTTGTATCTGTATACAGGAATACGTGAATAGAGATATATTTACGTGCACACACTTATTTACGCCCACATGCATGTAGACTTACACGTGGATATACAAGTCTAGTATATTCAGTGTTTCACGTATGTGTAATACTTACTTATGTAGATGTACATTAGTACGTGTATGATCCCTCCCACACCAAACACAAGGGGCCTTTCCAAATACACCGACGCAGACTGTTCTCGACTATCTGCTCTAAAAAACAGCGACACATATCCTACAACAGCCTACCCAGGCTAACTCCATAGCCACCCATTCGCTGGAGGGAGCCCAGTGTAGAGGAGCCTCCAGGGACCCGTTGGACCACCTGGAGGCCTCCTAACCATGGGAGGGTGTGAAAATACAGACCGGCATGAAGACAGGAGGTGTGCATCTGCCTGTCTACTTACCAAAAATAGATAAGGAGCCAAAACGAAATCTGTGAAGGAAGGGCTCCAAGGCAGCCCTGCATACTTGCAGGCCACGAAACGCAGCGGAGGCGATGAGGTGGGGCGATTTTCCAGCCAAAAAAACGAAAATCATAAAACGGCTGCTGCAATTGCAGCAGCACTTTGGGCAGAAGCTGTGGGTAGGGAGATGTGAGAGCATCACAGGAACCTGTGTACACCGATGGAGGATCTGCCAGCAAGTATATGGAGAGGCAAAACAGAATAAATATCCTCGGGGTACAGTAGCAGCAGCGGTTGCTGCTGCGATTGTGCAGCTGCAGAAGGCGTAGCCGCTGGTGTTGCTGCTGTAGCCGCAATGCCTCTAGCACCAGCTGCACGGCTGAGGAGCAAAAGATGCACCTCATTCCTTTCACGACATTCGTCGTTGCTTCCCCCTAAGCCTCTTCTTTCTGTTTGGGTTGTTACACCAGATATACATGCGACCGCGCCGAGTAAGCGCCCATTGTCCGTCATCTCTTTTTCTCATGCTCCCTATTTTTCCTTCTGTCCTTGTAGCATCGCCAACACTGTGCTGGCCTTGGACGCTGCCATAGAAATAAGCGCCTCTCCTGTGGCCGAAGAAGGCCCCGCGACTTCAGGGTGTCCCTCTGCTGCCGTCGCGGAGGCTTCTCGGATAGCGCTCGCTGCAACCTGCTCCCCCACAGCTCCGAGGGCTGCGATAGCCGCTTGCTTCTGTCCTGTTTTCCTCTGAGCTCCATCGGTGGCGCTCAAGCGCTCTGCTGCTTCGTCGAGAAGGCCTGCTACTGCTGCTGCCGTTTCTGCTAGCCTTCTCAGGGCCGCGCTCAGCTCCACCGCGGGCTCAGGCGCCGCCACCAGCGACGAGTACATGAAGTAGACGGATTTTGACTTTTCAGTTGTGGAGGCGGCCAGCAGCACCACTCTACTGAAGCAAGGCGTCCCCGTTGCGCATGAGCGCTCTTGTTCTAAAGCATTCTGCAGCGCCTGTAGGGACGAGGAAAGTGTCCGCTCGGATTCTTTCAGAGCCTTGATCGCTCTCTTTACAAGACGCTGACGAACTTTGGTGCACAGGTCTTGGCAGCTCTCCACCTGTTGCTTAATTTCAAGTACACTTTGGGCGCTGAAGCCTGCGGCCTCTGCAGCGCTCTCTGGCTGCCCCCAGGTAGACACTAGCTGCGTCCCCTCCTGTAGCGCGAACTCGAGGGGACCGCGCCGGTAATATTGATCTGAATCGTTATTGAGTAGTTGCAGTGTCCGTTGTTTCCACTTTTGAAGTAGCTTGACAACTTTTTCGGGGGTGTATCCGGTACCGCCTGGCCGCGAAGACTTTCCCCCGTGAAACGGAAACGGGTATTTTTGTTTCCTTCGGGAGAACGCTCGTTGCCTCCGACTCATTCCCCCGTAGCTCCGGTGCTGCAGCGAATCAGAGGCGTCGGTTGATTCGTCCGACGAGTAGTCGGTTTCATCAGATGGCTCCTCTCCCTTGTCGAGGGATGAGTCCGGAGTAGCCAGGGATTCGGGAGCGAGAAGAAGAACGCGCTGATCTGCATAGCTTCCGGAGGAGCCTGGGTGAGTCGGCTCTGCTTCAGTGTTCATGAACAGGCGGCCCATTAGCTCTGGAAAAGACCGCCAAGTTTTCATGCCCTCTGGGGGCGTGGGGGTCCCGCGGAGAGCAGACGTGCTTTTTCGCTGCTCTCTGAAGATGCCGCGTCCATCCATGGCCTTAACTGAAGGCGCTGAGGAAGAGAGGTGCTTGCTGCTGCCTTCGCCTGCGTCTTCCCCCATAAACACAGAAGATGAGGAGCTGTCGTCTGAAGACTCCCCCCCTTTGTATAACGCCTCAGCAGAGGAAACCTTCCGGCGTTGGTTGCTTGTAGGTGACTCCCTCATAGACTCTGTCAAGCGATCTGTGAAGCTCCTGCGCGGCTTCGGGCTAATCGGAAAATTCAAGAACCCAAACATATTCATAATGCTGCCTAGCGTTCCACTGGACTCCAACACTTTGGACAAGCTCTCAGCCTCGCGGCTGACTTCCAAGGCTTTAACGGACATGCCTGCCAGCTCCAGTAGCTCTCCCAGTTTGCGCAAGTCGCTTAGGATTCGCCGGGAGCGGCCAATCAGCGGCTCCAAAGAAGCAGGAATCGAGGGGGGGAAACGCGGGGCGCTGGGCCTCTGTTGCTGTTTAAGGAGTTCGTTGCGGCAAAACTTGCTCTGTTGGACAATATCTGAGGCAAGGCTCGTGATGTGGCTCCTGTGCTCCAAGGTGGCGTGAACCTGAGGCGTGAATTCAGGTCTTAATATCACGTCTCGGGCGGCCAGGGCTTGAGCAACGCGCCAGCTAATTTGCCTTCCGGATACAAACGCGTTGGCTCTAGCGATTAAAGCTGAGACTTCCTGTGAGGTGCTCCAATGCATGCGATCAAGCTGTTGCTTGGCCAAAATGAGCTCCTTATCTCCTTCTGTCTCTTCCACTTCTTCAACTCTGGATGATCCTCTTCGTTCCGATTTGTCACGTCTGCGTTGCTGCAAGTAAGCGTGCTTGCCAGCTGTAACCATGATAGAATCCCGGGCCTTCACTATCGTTTCCCTCTCGTCCGCCGTTAATTCTGATAACTCCTCATCACTAAGTTTCAGCGTTTTCAGCTGAAGCGCCAGGTTCGGGTGCCAGCCTCCAAGGGTTGGAGTATCAACGAAGGGCAACCCTAGGGCGCCCAGTGAGAGGTCAGAGGAGGCCTCTTCTGGAGGAACCGAGCAAGGGAAGGGATCATCGTCGCCAGCTAGCCGGCGGACGAGAGACCTGGCGCTTTCTAATGAGCCCTCTGAACGGAGAACTGAATAACAGCGGAGCAACAAGAAGGCAACGACAGAGATCGATGCGATGACGGCGACAAGCAGAGAACGACTCCTCCGGCCAGTTGATGCGGTAGTGAAAGGGGGTAAATACTCAGGGTGAACCCTCCTTGTCAATTCATAAAGCTCAAATTCTGGGGCCAGAGGCGCAGGGGCGCTCAAAAGGTAGGGTTGAGCTGCCTCTGGAAGTGCGGCGCCCAGTGCAATCCCCGGGGCCCATGGAGGGGAAGGCTCCGCAAGATGCAGCGGAAACTGAGAGGGAGAGGCCGTCATCCGCCTGGTGTTTTTGGCGGATGAAAACGGCTGAGAAGGGGAAGTGAATGATCATGTGATCTAGGAGGGCATCTGGAGAGGGATGCGGGGAACGGGGGGGAGGGACTCTATTATGGTGCTAACAACTGTTTTGGGACCAAATACGCAGAAACAGTGGATCGCGGTCTGTTAAAATTGTTGAGAAGCGCAGGGAATTGTTTTTAAAGGGCGGTTCTTGCCTTTTTGGTGCAGCAGAAACAAAATGCTGGCTCACGTATAATCGAGAGAAGCGGGGCTCTTTCAAACAACTACACGACGGTTTGGGGGGCATGTCTCTGGTGCGCATTTAAAAATTAAAATAATGAATTTTTCAGGTGCATTTCGACATTTTTTATTATTTATTCGGTATGTTTCTCCAAAGAAGGGCTGCCTTCCTCTGGCTCTAACTCGGGAAGGGGAGAGGCAGAGTGCTCGTGTCTGCCACTCCAGGACTGTCCACAGGGAAACCACCAGTGAGCGTGTTGTCAGCGAAACACCCTTCCAAGCCTTTCATTTTATCCTTACTGTTGAAGAGCACGCATAACAAAGCTTGCTTCTTGTTCGCGCCAGGCCGCTCAGGCTTCAATGGTCGTGTGTGTCTCTCGATCTGCATTCGCCCTGCGGAGACGGGTCTGCAATTTTAGTGCCTCATGGGCTCCGCTGCATAAATTATAAAATTTTAATAATTAAGCGCACTCCGTCAGGCTGGAGAAGTTCAGCTCCTGAAGACAGCCCGTGTGGCACTGGGCTAGGTTTGTCTGAGCATTGGCATCCTGCTTAATGATACGTTATGCAAGCCTCAAGTCTACCCACAAGCGTCTTTACGTATGCAGCTCATCTACTGTTACTTCTTCAACTCCGATCTTTCGTCGCAAATCCGCATACTTCCGTGTTGGGTTGGAGTAGGACTCCACGCTCCCGCGCCCAGCCACCTAAATGGGACCCGACGGTAGCTGCACTCTGTGTCGTATACGCAGAAAAGGGGCAAATTGTTATGCAAAAATGAGCATCGCAGCGATAAATCATTTTGCAGGCCATATGGGGCTTTAGACACGACATATGCAGCACTGGTGGGACGGGGGAGGTGCAAGAATGATTGCGTCCCACCTAGAGAAAAAAGATCGACGGGATAACTTTGTAACAAGCCAGCGTAACACGGGAGCTGGCGGTATTTTCGACTTGCCCCAGGGCGCCAACGACAGTCGATCTGTCACTAAAAAGCACGAAACACTTTTGTGCCGAACTAGAGAGCAGTTTGTGCTCACCTCGATGTGCTGATATCGCAAGAGAGCCTTTGACCAAAAGGCGGACTTTTCTACCGGCCCCCATCATGTGCATATTTTGAAGCGGAATGGGGCATTGGCTCATGCCTTTGTTTCCCATAAACATTGACTGCCCTACGCTTGCCCGCACTCACCTTCGATCCTTGAGTCGTCTCATAGTGACAGTGTCAGCTTTCCTTCTTCCTACTGCGCCAGAAGTAAGAGAATAAGAGGGTCACATGACTCAGATTTGCCAGTTAGAGCCCGTGGCACTAGGTAAGTTCCAATTCAGTTGAACCAGGCCGTTTCAAAGCGTAGGTAATATTGGCTAATGCATGTGATCGATCAGGCCCAATGATACTAACCAAGGCCTACACTCGGGAAAGACAGGCGGCCAAAAATATCTGTTTTGTCATTCATACGTTCTAAGCACATGCATCATTATTGCTGGGAACCGTTCTGAAAACTACGGTCACAGTCCTGTGCTGCTCAGACGCTTCTAACGGCAATTGCCGGCTGGAAGGAACACGCAGCTTTTCGTTTATCTTTAGCTACTGTTTTGCTGCTACACAATAATACTACCAGATGAAGAGTAGTAGTGGTGGGAGAACAGTGGCAGCCTCCGAAGCAGCGCTACTTATGCCAAATGCTTAATATATTCTCCAAAAGTTCTCGCCAATCGTAGAAAAAGAACAAAGGATTTTTAGGCCATCACTAAATACAGGATGGTTCGTTGTTACATGTCGTTAAGTGTTGTTCAAAGGCTGATCTGCTCCGTCTATCGACGCTGGACAGCTTGCAGCTAGTTAGAACTTTCTCCAACATCGCATTACCGAGCAAATTGTTGTAGCGTGATGGACACGGACTGGTTTCTGTCGTTGGAGGCTTTATATTCTGCATTCTCTGAGATGACTATTTGCCCCAGCATAGTACCTTGTTACATATACTCTTTCAGGAGTCCAGGGTCTGTCAAAGCGCATTCGTCAGAGGCACCGCAACGCTGCGGAAACTACTGGATGCAGCATCGTAGAATGTGGGCAAAAGTGGGGATAATGCATCCAGCAACAGAGAATTTAAGCTGTTGTTCAAGTTTGGTGCACTCGAACAACAGCTGAAACCTTATAACTCTATATTTGTACATCACAGGGCTCAATAAAACACTGAATGCAGCACCGGTAAAAGTTGGGGTCAAAGCGAGGAGAATGCATTGGGACATGCTGGCCGCTAACCTCAAATTAATAGCGCCCCGGTAGTCGACAGCGCGACGGCTAGTGGCCCTAGCAAGGCAGTGCCTACCTCTTGTACCAGAACGGTCATGCTTGTATTCCGCAACAGTTTTAGCCGCCTAAACGTGGAGGAAGGTGTGCGATGCTGAATTCTAGGTAAAAGATATATTCAGTGGGAATCAAGCTTAAAGGCTTAATTTAGGGGCTTTGCTGCTAAGTTTTAGGGTGCATAGTTTGTACCCAGGGGATCTGTAAATGGCTTACTTAAGGGCGAAAAATTCGAGAGGCTATTGCCTGCCCAATCCTTTTGAGCCCTTCGGAATATGCCCAAACGATGGGGATTCATGCATACCAATGAACACACAATAGTTATTCACATCCTTTGTGGCCAGTCCTATTGAGGTCCAGTAAAAGATTAAAGGCTTTATGGAAATTATGTTGCAACGGGAGCCAGCCCCATCCTCAGGGGTGATCGCACAGAGCCGTGATTGGCGCTAGGTTTTTATTGGTTCTAACGCACCATGGAGTCGAACGTTTGCACATCTTTTACTGACTACTTGAATTAGGTTCTGGCTGGCAAAACAACTCTAGGAAAAGGAGGTTTCGTCCTCGGTGCTCCGTGGACAGCTCCACGGAGCGACGAGTTTTTCGTTGCGTGACCCCTAGTGTGGAAGTGCCTGCATGCGAAGCTCGGAGTAGGCCCCCTTGCAGTTTTTATGCAATAAAAGTGATATTATCGTTATAACTATGAAAAAAAGCCGTTGCCGTGGACAAGGCCAGAATCATACGCGTAAACAGGGTTGAGCCTACGTCGAGATTGACAACCCCAAACACGGCCAGAGTAGAACTCTTCCCCACACGCCATGCAACAGGAGAGAAGGCACTCGAATCAACAGTTCGTACAAACCTAGACTCATTTTATCAATAAAGTGCCGTTAATTGGCGGCTGTCGTTGTTGAGGAGCATGAAGACGGTGGACGGTACTTCATGGTGTGTTCCGTCCAACTGAAGTGCGTGGCGCTGCAATGTAGGCGCCATGTAGCCCTTATAATAAGTTTTAGAGTGTGTATATTGACGTAACAAATAGAAGTAATTAATACGTGGGGGAATTTGGCCTTCGGGCGAAAGGACCTACTCTCTTCTGCAGATACTCACGGGATCCGGATTGCACAGCCACCCATACAGTTCTTTTAATGTTGTATAATCCTACAAGCAGTTAACAGACAGAGAGATTCTATTCCCGGTCAATAAGGTCTAGTGGGCTCTGCAGCTGGCTCGATGCTTTGGGGCTGGTATGCAGCAGTAATGCGCTGCCTTCAGTGAGCAATTGTCCGAGTAAACATATGCAGGCAAAACAGGAGAGGCATGTAGTAGCCAAGTTAGGCTTAGCTCACTGCACACTTGTCTGCCTCATCCTGATAACCCGTCACTACTACATATGGATTGCAGCGCTGCCTTGCATCCCTTGAGCGAGTGGAACTGCTGCAGCGTAGCTGGTTGTCGTCGCTGCAGGTCATTCGAGCTTCAGTTCGGTGAGGAACTTGCTATTCAGTAATGCAGAGGGGAAATCGACATTGTGTTGATTCTCAGTCTTTTGCTGGCTGCACGAGTAGAGACCTTCCCCTGGCCATCGTCACTGGAATTCAATTTTGGATGGCAGTGAAGGCACTGTGTCGTAAATTAGCCCAACGGCAAGCCGAACAATCGAGGGCGTTAGTGCTCTAGCTGGGAGCGGCCGGTGTGGACACCTCTTGCTGGACGCTGCCCTGAAGTCTTGTAGGAGTCCTCAGGTGTTCAAATACTGCTGAAGCAGCTAAATTGCCCAGCTTGTCTCTGGCTCAATCTACGACACATTACCTTCACTGCCATCCAAAAATGAATTTTCCTGCAAATCTTCCCATTCGCCGTTTGGTCTGCGCTCTTGATCAGTTATCTCACACACCACCTCCCTGCTTATGCTGCAGGCTAACTCAGGAGCACAGCTGCAGAGACCTAGCGGCTAGAGTTCCATAGCAGCCGAACTTGCTTTCTGTTCAACTTCGCCCACTCATGTTTGTTTCTATTGTGTGTAACCCATTTTCCTGCCTTGCTGTCGTTCGTGGGCTTCCTTACATATTTGGTCTACTTACAGCATGGCCTTGCAGCTGCAGGCTACAAAAGGCACGATAGACCACGATTTCTCTGAACAAACATTACTAGGTGCACAGCACTCGCGCCTGTCCTAAGGCACGCTTCGAGTTCTGCGTCCAATGCCTGGCCTTAAGATCACTTAGCCAGAAGGCGTCGAACCTTCTTTGCCACTGGTTATTCTTTTTGAGGTGCTAAGAAGCAACAGTCAGCACTCGGCCACTGAGCTGTCCTTGAGCCATAGCTGGCCACGGTTCAATGCAGACACTTGGAGATTCCCTCTGCAGGATAACTTACTTCTTCCAGCCAGTAGAGCGACAGGGTCTGATACAATCGAATTACTGGCAGATTGCATATTTCGTTACTG